TGGAAGAAGGATGGATGGATGGATGGAAGGATGGATGGATGGAAGAAGGTAGGAAGGAAGGATGGATGGATGGAAGGATGGAAGGAAGGATGGATGGATGGAAGAAGGATGGATGAATAGATGGAAGGATGGAAGAATGGATGGAAGGATGGAAGGAAAGAAGGATGGATGGATGGTTGGATGGATGGATGGAAGGAAAGAAGGATGGATGGATGGATGGATGGATGGATGGAAGAAGGATGTATGAATGGATGGAAGGATGGATGGATGGAAGAAAGAAGGAAGGATGGATTGAAGGATGGAAGGAAAGAAGGATGGATGGATGGATGGATGGTTGGATGGAAGGATGGAAGGAAAGATGGATGGATGGATGGATGGGTGGATGGAAGAAGGATGGATGAACGGATGGAAGGATGGTTGGATGAAAGAAGGTAGGAAGGAAGGATGGATGGATGGAAGGATGGAAGGAAGGAAGGGTGGAAGGAAGGAGATGGATGGATGGATGGATGGAAGGAAGGATATTGATGGATGGATGAATGGAAGAAGGAAGGAAGGAAGGATGGATGGAAAAAGTAGGAAGGAAGGATGGAAGGAAAGATATGGATGGAAGGATGGAAGGAAAGATATGGATGGAAGGATGGATGGATGGAAGGATGGATGGATGGAAGAAGGAAGGAAGGAAGGATGGAAGGAAGGAAGGAAAGATGGATTCGTGGCTAGATGGATGCATACATGCATGCATGCATTAGCGAGTAAATGGATGTGTGGATGCATGCATGGACGCATGGATGGATGACCAAACCTGGGGAAATGAAGACCCTAAGGGCCTAGAGACAGCAGAAACTAACTAAGCAGGCATGCTGTGCACCCATCCCAAGTGGATAACCTTAGGTGGCTGCTGCTGAGGTGTTGCAGTCCATGGCCCTTTGGTGCCCAGGGGGAATATGCCAAGCACGCTCATGCCCTGCTGGCCTAGGCTCCTATGCCCTGGTCACAGGGCAGTGGGGATGCCAGGGTGGGGCAAGGACTGACAACAGGCGTGCATCCCTCATACTCATCGCGTGTGTTCTTGGCTTCCAGCCCGCTCCAAAAGCCTGGTGATGGGGGAGCAGAGCCGGAGCCCTGGGCGGCCGCCATGCCCCCACAGGCTGGGCCCCATACTGAAGGAGGGCTGGCTGAAGAAGCAGAGGAGCATCATGAAGAACTGGCAGCCGCGCTGGTTCGTGCTGCGTGGGGATCAGCTTTTCTACTACAAGGACAAAGATGAGACCAAGCCCCAGGTGAGAAGCACGTGTCTTGTGTCCTGGGGCATCACGGCAGGGTCCGAGGGAGGGCTAACTAGGCCCAGGAGAGGGGAGAAGGCAGAGACCCTCCTGTCAGGACCTCCACTCCTCCAGCCCCTAAGCCACTGACCTCACTCACGGTGACACTTAGCCAGGATTTCCAAAGTGATTGTTATTCCCAGCCCCCATGTTCCTGGTATCACAGCTTGTTTTACTGAAGCACGGCCACAGCTTCAGCAAGGCAAAGGTCTCCGTATAATGTAGATAGAGAGCCTCTCTGCACAACTTAAGGAAAACAAACCTTCCCTGCATTCCTTTCAGCCTCTTGGTAACACTCCTGTTACTTCCGCTCTCCCAGGACATGGGCACCCAAGACGAATCTAACCCTAAACTGAAATCTGGCTCACTGTGGAACCCCTGTGTCCAATGCCTCTGCCTCTCAGTGGCTCCTCCTGTTCTCCACCAGTACTGCACGATCCACCTGATCCAAGGTCAGGTGGGTGGGAGTCTGTGCACATCTCAGCAGTTCCTACCGTGTGGAGATGGGGTGTGGGTGGGGGCGTGCAGAGAGGGTGCTCAGTGATGGGCAAGGTGGGAGGAGGGACCCAGGCACAGCACGGGATCACATGGACATCACTGTGAGATGACCTTCCCACCCCTCTTTCAGTTCTTCTGAGTCTGTCAAGGAGGAAGCATCTGTTGGGTGCAGGCATATGTTTAGCCATCTCCAGGGCTTGGGATCCTCCCTTAAAAAATGGGGACAGGGACGGGGACAGGAAGGAGCTGGCCTCATCTCAGAGCCTTCAGTGGCAACAGTGCATACGTTCTGTCTTCACTGTAGTATTCTAATGGTTAACTTGTGTTTGTGGAAAGTAGTACTGGGTTCCGTTCATGACAGTGATACCACGTTTTCCCCTCTAAAATACATCTAAGTTAAAATTGAAAAGTGTTTCACAGCAATGTGAATGTACTTAGTGCTCCTGAACTGTACACTTAGAAATGGTTAAAACGTTGGGGTACCTGGGTGGCTCAGTCGGTTTAGTGTCTGACTTGGCTCAGGTCATGGTCTCGCAGCTTGTGACTTTGAGCCCCACATCGGGCTCTGTGCTGACAGCTCAGAGCTGTGTCTGTGTCTCTCTCTCTCCCTCTGCCCCTTTGGATTCTGTGTCTTTGGATTCTGAGTCTCCCTCTCTCTCTGCCCCTCTCCCGTTCATGCTCTGTCTCTCTCTGTCCCAAAAATAAATAAACGTTGAAAAAAAAAAACTTTAAAAAAAAAATAACTACTAAGACTAAAAAACTTTTCCATAAATGCCAGCACCGAGGAGTGGTAGGGAAGACACAAATCATGAAGGAGGTTCTGAAATATGGCTTAAGAAACCCTGATCTTGTCCAGACTCCTTGGTTTCATAAGGAAGGAACACAGCTCCCAGAGACGTTGACTGGAACAAACAGAAACTTTGGAGTCAGGCAGATCTGAATTTGATCTGCATTAGATCTAGCACACTAGCTTTATGACTTGGGATAAGTCACTTACTTTTTTTTGCTTTTGGTTTTTCTCACTGCTAAATGGAGACATTATTCCCTATGCCACAGAAATGCACTAAGGATCAGCTCATAGCACATACACATATCTGATGGCAAATTCTAGCACATGGCCTATCTGATGCTTCCTCAGCCCTGCCCTTGTCTTGCTCCCCACCTCCCCAGCCCTACCACTGAGCCCACTTCCAAGATTGGGCACCACACTTCCAGCTTGCCCACCACCATTTGCCTTTTGGCCTTTACTCTTTGTGTTCAAGACCAGCCTTGGCCCTTCAACGATGGCTTTTCTGGCGGACCTGTCAGTGACTCTTACGTGTGACTGTCAGGTCACTCTGGTGACTGTGAAAAATTCCAGGGTTCCTAGCATCTTAGGACCCTGTTTGTGGCCCCTCCTGTCATCTCCTCCTGGCCCAGCCCATGGCACTGTCTCCTGGGAGAACTGCATGTTGATGCTGGGCAAGCCCAGGGGACAAAAGGAACACACTCAGGTGACCCGGGCCATGCATGGGCCCCTGCCACGGGCTTCCCCACATACTCCTCCTCCCATCTCCCATCAGCTCCAGCTCCATGAGGAAGCTGTGTCTCCCGGATTTCCTGAACTGGACACTCCCCTCCCTCCCCTTTCATCTTTTCCAGACTTCAGTGGCTTGTAGTAGAAACAACTAATAAGATGGTGGTGTCCGCGTCCTCAGCCACCAGCCTGGAGGAGCCTGGAGCCCCATCCAAACTAAACCAGGGCATTCACTGCCAGAGAGCCTTTGGATCTCTAAAAGGAGACAGTGTCTCCCAACAGATGCCAGTGTCATGCCCAGGGCCCCTGTTCTGGCCCCTGGCCGACACTCTCAAATCCTCACGGGACACTGTTTCGTCCCGTAATTCCTTCCCCCATGAAGCCTGATGGTAGCCCTGTTACACAGGTCCCCAGTCTCCAGGAGACTGTTGGTTAAATTTGACTCACTTAGCTTATACAGTATGATCTCAAACCTGCACGCCTGCTGGCAAAATAGCCCACACATTTCCACTTAATTGCATGAACTACATGTAATGGACTAATTCCCAATATCTGGTTCCTGGAAAAATGTGCCCTGCTCACTGTTTACAGTGACAGAAGGGCCCAGGCAGTAAGCACCCTCCTGACAGACAGCCTGTCATCTGTCTAGCAGATGTAATTGTCCAGAGGAGGGAAGTCCAGCTACCCTTGATGCTGCCCAGAGCACATAACACGTGATGAGGATAACTCTCGGCCCACGCTCTTGTTCTCTGTCAGAGCCCCATCACTTCCCTTCTCCCCTTCTCACTAGCGGGTCAGTGGAGAACATAAGAGCTGGGGATGGGGAAAGTCAAGATGGAGGAAAGGGGCCGTATGGACTCACACGGGAAGATAAGGCCAAAGTGCTTTAGGACGGAACCTGGAAGTGTGCCCCTGTCCCTACCGCTTTTCCCAGCACATGCCCCTGATGGCTTCTCCAGCAGACAGACCTTGCGGTTACTAATAGAAGATTCCAGGTTTTTGCGTCTTAGCGGTCTTAGCTTCCACTGGAAGTGTTTCTTGAGCCATGAAACCTCCTACCACATTCTTTGTTGAGCAGCCTGGTCCGTTTCCACCGTTCGAGGACTCAGTCTAGTGATCTGACACCCAAGTCCTTCACTTGTGGGTCTCTTGGTTTTGAATAGAAAAGGAACAGGACAGAAATGGCAAGTATAACTTCCAAAACATGCGATGGGGAAAATGTAACAAATTCAATGTGATCAGCTCAACACGTGGGCGGAAAATGGCGGAAAGGAAAAAAGACAAGAGGGAAAGGTAAATAGAACACGAAAAATAAGCGACTAGGATGGCAAGGGTTAGGAACAAAGTGTCATCATCACAAATGTCAGATTCGTCGGTCTCTTAAATGACAGAAAGTGGAAGACTGGCTTTAAAAAAGAGCAAAAACCAACAAGGTTGCAAAACAAAACGATGGAGACAAGATAAGCCAGCAAAGGCGATCAGAAAGAGAGCAGATTTAGCAACATCAAAATCAAATATAATAGAATGCAAGGTGATGGGAACAAAGAGAAATATTTCATAATAATATAAATAACATACCGAGAAAATAGAGCACCTGCAAACTTTTATGCTCTTAATGACACAGCTTTGAAGGATACATAAACAAAGAAAACCAATGCTCATTGTTCTCCAGTTTGTTTCAAAAAGTGAAATTACAGGGACACATTCATTGACTGTAGGACAAAAGAAAGACTTTTAAATTAGCAAAATGATACTGAGTGGGGGCGTGTATGCAAGAGAGAGAGAGAAGTTCTATACATGTGGAAATAAAACACCCACTTCATAATACTTCCTAAAGTAATAAGGAAATCAAAAGTTAAACTTCTAGTTAAGGATGACTAGATTTAAAAACCCCGCAACTCCAGTGTAGAGCCCTGACTGGCGCTTTTGAAGGTGTGAACACACCTGGGTGGAAGGGAGGGGGGAGACAGCCCCCCACAGCATCCTGGATGCTAGAAGACAGATGGGCGAGACGTGACTGATTCAGCAGACCCAGGAGAGCTAAAGTCTGAGCCCGCACTAGGACAGCACGACGATCTGTCTGGTTTGCAAAGCAGCGCCCCCTCACTTCCCACCAAAGATTCAGGAATTGGCAAGGCCAGATATCTCTGGAAATGAGGCCAAAAAAGGAGCCGAAAACAGGAGAACTGGTGGAAGGTCAGCGTAGAAAGCAACTAGGTCGCAGATCTCCTGAGCAACCTCACGGAAAGCCTGACTGCCTTCCGTCTCTGTAACAATGGAGTTGGTTCTCTGGGGGGGCTGGGAGCAGGGCACTCCAGGCTGAAGACGCTGGCCTGCTGGAGCACGAGACGGGGATTGATGGGCTCCAGTTACTTAGCACCACCCCCCACCACCCCCAGTCTCCATCCCACA